ATCACAAAGCATCACCCTCATCACGTGAACACAGCCAGGATTTGTGCGATAATAATGATAAACTTTTTCGAAGAGAAAAGAATTCTTAGAAACCAATATATAAAGTATATAATATGTCATTATCCATATCATACATAAATCAAATAAATATTATAACGCACCTTTCCTATTTAACCTCCCGATCAGACGTAACAGTTTTTTTTCTTAAAAAATGAGACTCCCACCTCCTACCTTATAATATTACATGCCCCCAATAGTGATATACAAAATAGCCTGCTTCCTGCTCTAACTAACCATTCATAAAATATATCACCTATCATTATATTAGTACCACAGTACAATTGTCAACATAGTGCGAAGGAAACTGCGACTAAGTCAAACCGTCTGAGTCATAAGAAATAAATCTTTCATATCGTACACACTCAGTTAACTATATAGCTATACGCCTTAATTTACTTTCATTAAGTGTACATATAGTGTCGTACCCAAGCGATGATATTAGTATATATGCGGCTGCAACTAAACATTATATGTTAACGATATTATTAACAACATTCTAGAGACATAACCGTGATTTTGCCAAGCGCAAATGACACACTGCATTATAATCTATATTTATATATTATTAAGTGCATTGCTCACGAGAGCTGTTATGAGAGAATGTTGCGAAAGTAAACGGTTCTATATCAGAGAGTCTAAATGCTCATATTCACTTAAGACGGCCAATTCTCCCATTAAACTTCATACACATCTGTTCTTACTGATTTACGATAAATTTTAACGTCTATTAGTATATACTACCAAACAATGTGAATATTATGAGATAGCATCGTAATGCTTGCCGTTAGAATATTGTTCAAAATATATGTCAGTTTCCGAGATATAATTTAATCATCTTTTAATATTTTTAAATTGAAGCCAGTATTTTAATCTCACTAAGCAATATGAATAGATATCTATAAATAGAACGAATCATGATTATAACACATTGTTAATGCTTTGATAAGTATTTTGAAAAAAAAAATTATACTCTTCACAGCCATGTGATTTTAAATTATATATTATATAAGATTTCAACTGTAAATAACAACTCCTTTTCAACTGTCTCCTTTTGGAAGGTTGTCTTCGTGTGGGGCACTTTAAACGGGGAGAGGGCGAGAGGTCGCGAAGGTCAGCGTCGCCAAAAAGCGACAGTTTGCGACGGCAAGCACAGATCAAATTAGCACGTTTAATTTAAAATCTCAGTCCAATAAACCTATAATTTATAGCAAAAACACAATCAAAAATATTAGCAATGTTACATCATCAATTCCTCTTTTTAAGAATCATCTATTGCTAGTGAGAAAAATACATGATATCACTTAAAAAATAAAATTTAAATTTGTCAAAACTAAAAATATTTCAAGAGAATATCTCTACACACCAATTACTTGCCGCATGATTCCGCATAGTTGAGTGAAAAGATAGGCCGATACGGAGGAACCGTTAGAAGTTATGAGTGTCCGTAGGTGTATAGGACTCCCTGTATGCAAAGCAATATACATGTATTTCAAAAATTCGTGTTTTAATCCGTTCGATAGAAGACACGCATTTTTCAAACAATTATTTGTAATTTATCAAAATATGTTGGAGACATTTAAACGTTCCGAAAAATTTGTCCAATAATATGCAGTAACTAAAGTGCTTGTTTGGCTCGATTGTTAATCGTTGCTTTCTTGAACTTTATGCAGGCAGCATCGAATCCTCGGCGTGTCCGATTCTTTTTTATTTTGATATTTTTATCTCTTATCCGTAATTTTTTTGTCAAATGAATGTTATCACAGTACTCATCTCTATTGTGCAATAAAGTATTATTTTGATTTTAAAACAAAATACACTCTGAAAATGGCTCTTTATTCTTTCTATGAGATATTTGTTTTTAAATTACTCCAAAATTACATATTTGTTAAATTTTATTCCATTTTTTACATCATTTTATATTATAACATATCTTATTCTAGAAATTTAAGGAATACTATTATAAGAATCCAAAAACCCCCCAGATTCTACGACCATTTCTCATCCTACTGGGAGAAATCCACAAGTCTCTCGCCCAGCATAAGTTTTCACTGTGAAGACGACCTACCCCTCCCAGGCCTTCAGGATATTTGCCAGAGCGCATCGGCATGTTAGGTTCGGATACAGGGCCAGGTTTTCCGGCCATGTACGTACTTGTCTCTAGCCTCAAACATTTTCCAATAGGGTTCACGATCTGGTGACTTGTGGCCAGTCAACAACCTGAATATCTTTTTTCTCCGCAAAAAAACGATTAAACAAAGGCCGACTTATGAATCGGATTGGTTCTGTTTGCGAATGTATCCCCACAGGATGCAATTGCTCTTACTGATGGAATCTAGATATCTCTCAGTAGTGGAATGTACTGAGGCAGCATTTATAATGGTCTTGAATTCTATGGATCATTTCCAATCCCACAGAATGATCTCGCAGCCCAATCGCTACTGAGAAACACCTACCTGGGGACTTGCTTTAACATAACCGAGAATACATAGCGGCTTCCTTGCGGGCCTGAAAACGCGAACGGCGACCCATTCATTTCGGAGGAGGGGAATATACTCTCAATCAGAAAAAATCGATATCAGCCCCAGTCTCAGATTTTTTTTCCCCGCAAATGCCAGCCGATAGGAGCTGGCGGTACTATCTGTCGGTTTCGGTTTCTGAGCTGCATTTCTGAGATCACAGACCAGCCTCCAAAAAGCTGTTCGTATTGTTCTGAGCATCCACGGAAATCTGGTGGTTCTTTCAGTTGTGAAAAAGTTTGGAAAGGGTTTTCCACCGCTAGCTTGTATCAAAACGTCATTTTGGCCACCATCTGAAATACGCACAAAGCCCCGTTCCTCGTTTTCCTCCCGGATTCTCCCGTCTCTCGACAACGTTTAAGTCAGTATTTGCGCTGTTCTTGCCCCAACACGCACATACCGACTCGCCCGCCTCTGAAAAGAGTGGTGACCCTCTTCATCTACTAATGCCGATAACTCTCTTTCGTTTGTGCTTGGATATGGTGAGAAAATGTCGAAAAAATGAATGCGGAGTATTCAATTTGCTTAGCCACGATGTTTTCTTTTCTACCAAGGTGCCAACGCTGCAGAGCCCCTTATCTCCTTTTGACCTGCTGCTCGAAAACACGAAGCTGCTGCGAAGGTCAGATTTCACGTCGTAGTACCGTAGGCTTACGAGAGAAATCGATAATCTCTCTCAACAAAAGAAATGATTTTATTCACTCTCTCAATGAACGAATATTGTAGCAAGCAAAACGACATCGGTATATGGCTAATATTGCAGTCTGATTGTTCAAACACAGTCATATTTTGCCGTTAATTTTGAGTTAGAAATTGTTTTTGAAATAAAAAAAAATCGCTATTTTCTGCCATTATTTGTTATTTACAATCTGATTATATTTTGCTGCATAAAAAACATTTCAATACACATAAAATGGATTTCTATACTTACATCTGAAATAGATGTTTGTATGATATTCGTAATGAACTTCAATAGTGACAAACTCTAGGAATTTCCCTTCAAAAATTCGTTTTCGCGCAAATTGTATTTGGTTTTGTTTTATTCACACCTACGAAATCTCACGAATACCCACATAAACTAAGCCTCCCACATGTAGCAAGATCTGAAAAGATCGCATCCAGAATCAATGAGCCACATTTAATCATCAAAAAACATTTTATTTACTTACAGTGTAGACTTTGAAATTCAAACCTTGTCACACTAAGAATTATTGTAATTACCAGAAACATCAACCAGTTCCATCATCCATTTATTCACCTTATATATCAATAGCATAAGGGAGTCTATGCACAGAATTTAAAAAAAATTATTTATGTATTAGTAGTTTATTAAATGAATTATTTACAATACAAACCACAAGTCACATTTCTTGTCAGTAGTATCACCTATAATTTGTGCATATTGTTAAACGAATTGTCTTTCTTAGCTTTTAGGAATCCCATTCATGGTTTTATTCCGAAGTAAAATGAAAATACATACGCAATATTTAATGATTTTTTAATCGCCAATTTAAATTATTATCTATAAGATTATAGAAACTTATTTTATGTTGGTCTCTTACGGAGATTACCGCTTTTGAGAATTGCTTGTTGCATTCCTTATTCGCAATCGAGAATTTTTGTTTAATTAGGCATAACATTGACGCGACATATTTAGCATGTTATATTTTGTGGATTATAATGGCACTGTGAGAATGAAAATAATATACTTACGTAGAACTGGGAACCGACCCGCTAGCTTTCACGATTTTAGAACACCACTTCGACACTGAGAACATTCTTTTCGCCCTTCTAATACACCTCTCTATAACAACAAATTTATATTAAGGAAACTTTAAAAGACAAATATCACGTTACTAAAGTTAATGTCAGTTTCTTGTTTTACTGGCAGGAATCACGAAAGTCTTTTTCCTCTGTTATTGTTTACTATTGAGCTCTCAAGGTCATTAAAGTTATTTAATGCGCTTCCAATAAAAATAATTTAATGTATAGTTCGATCTACAGAACGTAGTACGAAAATGAATCGTTAGATAGCGCTGTCGGCAAGCAGGGATGTCAGCGCATCAACCTCTCGGGCCAAGCCATTTTCGACGCGAAATTTTATGTTTCCAAGAGTGTACATTGGCATTGGGTGTGCATTTCCCTCAAGCTTCATAGCTGGAGTGGAAATGTAATGACACAGAATGTTTATGAATAAAAATATAAGTTCTGTATGTAAAGTTCAACAACATTTTGTTTGTATGTATAGTAAACTTCAGTGTTCTCGCATCAACATCACTATTGACCGCGATTATTCAAGCATATATAATGAGTTGTGTATATAAACATAATTACAATTATTGCATCACAAAAATACGATGATATTACCTGATAATTAATAGTATGTATACGTTTAACGTACATGTATCACTTTATTTTTGTAGGATTCGACTTAGCGTTTCTAATTTAACCATATTGTACGATGCTGGTTCGAAAGTGAGGTTTAAGTTGTATCTATTCGATGACTGTGATGAGTATGGTGACATCAAGCAAGAATGGGTGTTGGTTCTCACAGTAAGCTAACTCTTTTTATTTTGCATGTGACTTATTCGCTTTGTAAAATTGTAAATATTGGAAACGATGCATCTCGAGACTAAAAATTAAATTATATTTCAATATCTCTTGCCTTAACATCTGTTTATAATATATCTTTGCTTTTCTGTATGTAAACTATCTGCTAATGAAAGTGCTTTACATTTGCAATATTGTTTATTTAATTTCTATTGCCAATGTACTACGTTCACCTTCTAATTGCAGCTACTTGTTTGATATTCGTATATTTACTTTACATGGCGCAATTTGCTTGCGAATCTTGCCATAAAAAGTTTTTGAACTAGCTCTGAGAATGGTCAGTTGCTATATTTTGTATTTATAACACTGATCACTCAATGATAGCAGTCTTCATGCAACAAGTCAAATCTGATTTTTGAAATGTTCCCTGTGACAGAAATGTTTAAAGCACGCACCGACGAGCAGATTGAGAAAATATAAAAAAGAAATACCAGCCTCTAGATGGAAGTAAGACCCACACTACCTTGAACCCTTGCAAGGGAGTGATCAACTTCGTTGGTTTTCTTCTGGAATAAAGAAACATTTCTCGCACTTCGAAAGTCAGAAGACACAATTAGCTGCAGGTTAAAGAGGAAGTTACATGAGGGACACTCTTACTGATTCCAACGTTCGATCATCCGTCCTCCCAGGAAAGATCTGTTGTGCGTTCTAAAATCTATGTATTTGACAAATATGTCCAACTCTTTGCACTATATATAATATATAATCAGAGAAGTGCGGTGATTACTTCTATACCGCATTTGCTAGCGGCCAACCGGCTTCCCTCCCTCCTAGCCCAATTTGTTTGTTATCTGCTGTAATTGCGCTGGTGTTGGCATACCATTTTCAGTTGCCTGATCCTTCTCGTGGAACTATTCATTTTATAAGTTATAAACTTCTTGAAAAACGGTACGTTAATTTATACTAACAAAACATTCCATTTAAAATAATTTTGTATTGTGATATAACTGGCTTATGAGTTATCACTTTCGCAGACAGGACGAGCCAGACGTGGCATAGCTTTGCACTGGTAGGGGGAGACACATCGTCCATCTCCAGCGAGCTAGGGTTCAGTTCAGGTATGATCGACTGCGGCTTTTCCCCGATCTTAGTCTGCCCAGTGAAGTAGAAGCGCGCGTAACACCCAGGCCAAGCGAAGAAAACAAAAAATTAATATATTTGTTCAGAAAGAAAAATTAACACACAAGTAAAAAAAGCAGTTGAATTGTGTAAATTGGGCGCTTTTTTATTTCCTGTGTTAATTTTTCTTTCTTAACTCGTTTATTAATCACTTTTGTATACAACAAACAATTTACATGTTTCTGAAGTGTTTCTGTGCTTCTTAAATGCGAATTTTTGCCTAGAAAGCATTTTTTTCTATCCAACTGCTGAGTGCTAATTGCAACTTATCCATTTGGAATATCCAAGTTGTTTATAAATAAAAATATGTTTAAAATTGTCTTACGCACTTTTTTTTCCTTCAGTGACTCGTCGAAAAACAGGATGAGGCACCAGAAGAGATTTCAAATAATGTTTGAGAATATATACGTTACTGTTTGGGCATTCATCGCAATTGAAAATATATTCTAGAATCCGATCTCACTAGCAATTCAATTCTTTACCTACTCACACGGTTGAATAATTGAGCTCAAATAAAAATATCTACGCACTATCGTGCGTAGGAATTTCATTTTCACTGCTGTGATTCTACTTTTTGTTTTCGTATTATGTGGCATCCTTTCAGTTCCATGTATAAATGTTGGTATATATACGGGCTTATAAATTTGGAGTTTGTTTTAGTGTCTACATTCATTATTAGAAAGTTCTTATTTATTTGATAATACACCGAGTTTGCTTTCTTCTATTATTCAGTTCCTCATATTTTTCGTCTTCCGAAATTATTGTTCCCAAATACTTATAACTTGTTACATGCTCCATGTTTTCCTCTCTCCACTTAATGTTCATTTCTTCCTTTTCTTTATCTATACACATAACCTATCTCTTATTGGTGTTTATCTTCATACCCCTGTCCTCCAGTGCATACCCCCACTCAATTATCATCTCTTGTAGGTTTCTCGGATTTTTGGCTAGCAATAAAATATCGTCCGCATACACCAAGACTTGTATCCATACCGGTCTCATTTTCCAATTTTCAGTTTTACATTTCTTATTTCGCCTTTTGTTTAATAACCTGATCCATAAAGATTTAGTAGTAAAGGGCTCAATGAATCTTCCTGTTTAATACCTTTGTCCGTTCTAAATGACGCACTAAGTTGTCTATCCACCATTACAGTACCATACACTTTTTTATATATGCTTTTAATTACCCTTACTTGAAACCTTTGATTTCTCCAGCGCGTCTAATAGTTCTTTCCTGAGTACTGTATTGAATGCTGACTTTAAATCTATGAAAGAAGTGCATATTGTTTCCCCTACTCAATGTTTTTTTCAATTATGGTTCTTGTAGTGTAAATATGGTCTTGTGTTCGTATGGTCTAAAGGCCCCTTGCACTTCTTCCAAGTCTCCCTCTACCTTTCTCCTTAATTTTACTTCCACTCTCCTAGAGTATAATTTACTTATGCTGGATGACAAATAAATCGCCCAGTAATTTTCACAGTTGACTGTGCTCCCCTTTTTATGTAGAGCCACTATTATATTTTCTTCCCAGTCTTGCGGTATTCTTTCTTCTCTCCATATCTGTTGACATGGTGCTGATATCCATGTCCTTCCCGTTTTACCAATATACTTTATAATATCTGTTGATATTCCGTCTGGATCCGCTGCCTTCCCAACGTGAATTCTTCTCATTGCCTCTTCTACATCTCTTTCCGTTATGGAATCCTCCTCTACCTCTGTTCCCCACTCATCAGGTTCGATTCGCCTTCGCCATCTCCCCGATTTCTTAATGGCTCATAGAGTCACTCACTCAACTCCCTCTAATCACCAGTGCCTGTCCTGTAATTATTATTGAAGATGTTCCCAAATACGTTCATAATTGCTACTTACAAATTCAGCATGACTTCTGCTAGATTTCCTCACGACTATGAAATCACCTTAATACCAATATATGAAATCGCAACCAACTTGAAAATTAGCTCCTTGAAATCACTCGGAGATTGCAACTATATCCTTTTTGTTGAATCGTGACATTGATTCGAAGGAGTTGTATTATTGTATTCCTTGGAGATTTCTTATGTCGAAACAACTATTTAGTGATGATGTTTTCGCAAATGAAATATTTAAAAAAATGTTATAACATAAAGCACCATTTTGGAAGATGTGTAGAATGGCAAATTTTGCTATTTTAAATGTATATTGATATTTTGAACATTTAAATAAATAATAATATAAATATAATTTATTTTACATTACATAATTTATATTAAAGTTTATCAATTCGAAGTATGAAAAACCTTTGTCACTAAACGATATTAGTTTATGTACTTATATATGAATCAACTGAACGATTGTAATTGGGCCATTGCGTGTAAAATATCTACAGTAAAGCATAGTCCACTGATTGTATGAAATGGTAGCATCTTAAGTGGACAACAATCTACAGAACCACATTGCCAAATTTGGTAAGTACTAGCTTTCAATCAATTTTGTAAACTACGCACTTTCTCATTCTAGTATCGAATCATAATTGTTTGAATACATAACAATCTTACACTTTCAAAATATTAAGCTAAGTGCTTATTGCTCTTATATTTATTCTTGTTTTTATCCTGTTTCTTGTATTTATTCCAATTTTATCAAGTACATTAAAGCGCATTCGTGACATGGCAAATAATCGTTCTACTCTTTTTACTCTTTAAACTCTCAAAGCCGACCTTCTGAAAGCTTTCACACACATAACAGTAATTTAGATCAACATATCCGAAGGTTGGAAATGTCGTTCTCTGTACAGACGGTTGGTTACAAGTCGGCAACACTGCGAATCTTCCCAACCTTTCACCCGTGACTGCACAAACGACACAGACATCATATCCAGTCGCAACTCAAAACAAATTTGTGTTTTAAATTATGAAACATATTTTCCTCGCCTTCCTGATCCTCACAACCCTTCTCTGCCATCGATAAATACATGCACAAACCAACGCAAACAGGCTAGGAAGCGCGTCAAAACAAGAACACGTAAAGCTGTGCATCCTAGCCCACTTGAAAACAAAGACATTCCTACTGGGCGTAAATGCGAAAATGTTTTTGAAATATCTGTAGCACGTCTTAATACGCTAAAAATATTACTTTGCATCTACAGGTCTTCAACAAAGAGATTAGTTTATTATATTATTCTCTTAAAGAAACTGGAGATAACACTAAATAAGGTCAGCAATGGCTCTTTTGAATCCATTGTTCAATGCGGAGATATTAACATTGATTTTTTGGTCGAATCTTGCGAGAAAGAGCAGTTTCTCAACTTAATTCATTCCTTTAGTTTAGATATTACAATAAATGTACCTACACGGATCACACTAAATTTAAAGAAGGCTATCAATCAAATAATCTATAATATAAAAATGAATCCCAAAATGTGTTGGTAAGCGCATAACTCAACAACGCCTGGACCAATTTGGGCAATTCTTTTTTTAAAATGTTCGTTGAAGCTTCAAGGAACGGTTTTACGTCGAGAAAATTAGAATAATTGGCCGAAAAAACTCTAAAACAGCCTTTTCTTTTTATCCCGATACAAAACGTTTTCTAAACTAAAAGTACGAGTCAGTTGAGCTTTATAGCTGTTGTTTAAAGCACTCATTGTTGTTGGTAGCACAAGCACTCAATTGTTGTAGGTAGTTCCTAACGTCAAAGAGGTCAATTGGCGTTGCCTACCCTCTCCGGTTTTAGACCGGAGACTCCGTTTTCGTTCATCTCCGTCTCCGATTTTTGAAAAAATTATCTCCGTGTTTTTTTTTTTTTTTTTTCAATTATCAATACATTTCAAATTTTTACAAATTAAATAGAT